CCACTTTGGGCGACTGGCTGGATGTACACAACTGTGGTGCAGCCTCCTTCAGCTGCAGGGGGGGGGGACCCGGCTCTGGCCTGCCGAGGCTGGTGCTGGGCCAGGGGGGAGTTTGACCCCTCCAGACCCCCCATCCCTAGGAAGGATTCAGGCCCCCTCTGGACCCCCAAAGCTCCTTTAAGCAGAATCGGGAATGGAGGATCTGCCTGACCCGCCTTTGTGTAACTGACCACAACCCGAATGTCCTAGAAAAAGTGGCTTCCATGGATGTAGTGAAACATTAAAAAAAGAATGTCTGGTTTTTGGGATAGTTTGGAGGGGGGGAAGGTTTTCGGACATTAATGGTTAAGGTTGTAATCCTATACTTGAGGATAAAGGATTATTGAAGTCCACAGTATTTCTATTAATTTTCCGGGTTATTTTATAAATTATAAATGTATTGTTTGGTTTACTATGCTGTCCATCCCTCCATCCACCCCTCCTTCTTAAAATAGCATTGAGATCTTTCACAAGGGAGAAAACCTGCGCGGATCCTCTTATACATCCCGTCCATGGATATGGATTTTTTTTTTCTTCTTCTTCGGGCAAAATATCCCCTCCACTCCCACCCAGAGGAACGGAGCCGACCTCAAGAGGGTCGATTCTGGGGAGGGGGTCCCAGGGCTGATTTCCCCCCCCATAAAATCCCCCCCCCTTCTCCGCTTCTCCGCTTCTCCCTCTGCGCCGAACTGTCTCCTCCATCGGGTGAAGTCAAGGAAGACTCTGCCCGGAGACCGATGACGCTGCGGAAGGGAGAATTCCGATTGGTTCTGGGCCCTCCCAGTTCCGAAGTTCGAGGGAAACGCCTCCCCCCCCCCAATCCAGACCCCCCCGATTCCGCCTCTGGGGCTGGGAGCCTCCGCGTCTCCGTCTCTGGTCTCTCTGGGGGCGCTTGTGCGGCGGCGTCCATGGGCTCCGCTGGGCTCCCCCTGGTGCTGCTGCTGCTGCTGGCGGGGGCGCTGGCCCGGATCCCCGGAAGCGAAGGGGGGAAGGAGACCCCCGGTAAGGAGGGGGCTCAGAGGGGGGAGGAGAGGGGCTGGGGGAGGAGGGGGCTGGGAAGCACCGCCGAGACTCGTGGGGGGAGAGGGGGAAGAAAGCTGCTAGCTCTTCAGAGGGTAAGCGTGATGGGAGCCAACGACAGCCTCGATCTCTGCGTGGTCTCCTCCCCCTTCTCTCCCCACTTCCCCCCCCAGGAGGGCGGAGAGGGACCCCCTCTTTCCCGATTGCAGCCGAGGTGGTGAGTCGCAGCCGGGCCTCTCTCTGCCCCCCCCCCTCCAAAATGGCTGAGTCGGAGTCGGAGCGGCTGCGTGGAAAGGGGACGGAAAGTGAAAGCGAAAGAGGGAAACTGAGGCATTTTCAGACCAGAATCCACACAAGGAAAAAGCTGCATTTTGGCCAAAGTATTTTTGCGTCTTCAAAGACTTCAAGTTTTCTTCCCAAATCTCAAATGTGAGGCTTTCAAAGTCAGGCCGGAGTTGAGCTTCGGTCCCTTCCGGGGGAGGCTCCGAATTTGGGGAGGAGGCCAAGAAACCCCCACCCCATAATCCCCCGTTGCTCTATCGGGACCTGGAGGGAGGGGGGAAGCGAGAGAGGAGCATTTGGGGGGGGCTCTGAATGTCTCCCCTATGGCTCCCCAAAACAATCCCTATCGTGAGGGGGGCTGGAGACCCTCCCTTTGAGATGCTCTTGGGGGGGCTGCAGGGGGGCTTTGGGGGAGGGGGAGAGGAAACAAGTCTGAATCTCGAAAATCATCCCAAGGCAGGGAGTTGGGCTGAAGGTTGGGCAGAGGGTCTCCAACAGAGAGAGTCCTGTGCGAATCTCACGTGTGGCCCCCAACCGGAGCTCATCTGAGACCCCCCCCCTCAAAAAAGGCCCTGAGTGGTCCAGTGGCCAATGGCCTTGATCTCTGAGAAGGTCACCCTGATGTCCATCTCCCTGGTCTGAGGGCTCCTGGGCAGGGGGTGTTGGGAAGGGTCTCTTCCCCAGGGCCTCTTGGGGCCAGAGCAGAAAGTCCAGCCGAAGCCATTCCTGGTGTAGGAGACATTTGCCATCAGGGGGGAGGGAGGGAGGGAGAGCAGCTCTGCGGGAGAGAGGAAAGATCAAGGGGGCAACTCTGAGTGGAAGACCCCTCCCTTCTCCCCAGCACCCCTAGATGCCCCTAGATAGCTCTCCCACTGAGCCTTGCCCCCTCCAGAAGCCATCCAGGCTGCTTCTGCAGGATTCCCGTGGCTTCGATCTCCAAGGGCTGATTTTGTCTCCCTCCCACTCCTCATTTGGGGCACATAAAGACTAGGTCGGTGGAGGAACAGTCTCAAAACCTTACAACATAATGCCTCTCTTCACACTGGTAAATATACATCAATATGATAAATCTTCAGAGTCAGTTAAAACCTACAATACAATGGAAACTAATTGAATAAGAAAAATACAGATGGTGAGAGTCAGGAAGAGATTAAGGAAGTAAGATAACCATATAGGCAAAAATAGTTGGGTCTGAGAAAGGAAGAGGGAAGTAATAAAATAGATAAATAGTTTTTTTTATAGGAAATGGCTAGCCAGAAAGGAAGGTTGAATGGAGAACAGGAAAAGAACTTATTGTTTAAAATGGGGACATAAATATATCTGAGTTTAAAATAACCATTTATATGTCTATTTTTTCTTATTCTTATTGTCTATGTGAATATGATTTAGTGTGTTATCAGGAAATGTGTATAGGCGGACGGAAAGAGTGTAACCTCATACTACTTCAGCCAATGGGGAAAGAGGAGGGCTGTAGCGGCCGGTGATAGGGATGAATAAAAGAAGGAGATATTTTGGGTTAAAACTTTGGAGAGAACCAAGCTTTGATAGCTTCTCTCCCCGCTTATTGCAATAAATGAAACAAAAGGCCTTCACTGTGTCTTGGCTGGTTATTGGTCAGGCGAGCTTGCCTCTGGTCACGAAGGAAAGTAGCCAGGAGCACATAACAACACTATTATGAGATCGTTATGCAGTCAACATCACCTTAGATGCAAACTAAATACGGCTACCCCATATTTTCCGGGACCATAATTATGGGCTGCCACCTGGGGGAACTCGGGGAAGTATGTGTTGATGTACAGGAGCAACAGGCTTAGTTCCTTGCATCATCAGGAAGAGCCAGCAGGTGTAGGAATTTCTCACTCTTCCGTTGGACTCTTTCACTCAGCTGAACAAGAAGGGCTGGAGAAGAGAGGAGAACGTTGCAGGGTTTACTAGACCCAAACCTCCTTTCTTCTCCTGCCAGTGATAGAAAGGGCTCTTTGACTTGAGGGGGGAGCCCCTTTCTGAGGACTCCCCCCTGCCCACCTTGCCCTCCCAGGCAGTGAGTATTAGTGGGTCAGTGAGGCGACAAATGGCAAAACTAGCCAATCTGAAAAGAAAGTCAATTATTAGTAATGTAGTTCTTTGCTCAAGAACCGCAGGGAGCAGGTAGAGGCTAGCTGTATTTCTAAAAGTGCACTGAAGTCTAGAAATAATGTTGAGCTCCTGGTGTTACCCCAGAAACGGTCAATTATCTTGTGTAATGAGTACCGTATGTGCAGAGAGGGAAGTGGGGACAAACTGACATGTTGTTCAACAATAAAGTGTCAAGCTGTGAAGATCCCTTGCTTTAGAACTGCCATGATGCTTCTGGCTGATTTCTGTGTTACGTGTACCCTGCCTATGTTGTAAAAATGCTGCATTAAAAGGCTAATAAAGAATGGATATATGTTAACTATTGGCCCTACACCTACTCTGGTACTTACTATTTGTATTTTAATAATTATTTTCAGTGAAGTCTGATTCATAGTTGAGATTTTAACATTTTTATAGGATGATTTATGCCACAAGTTAAATATTTACATCCCCTTATAAATGCAGACATTGTAATGAAAGAGAAGTAGAAAGTGTGTGAATGAAAGTTGAGAGGGGGGAGGAATTGATAGGTTCAGGCTTGTATGGATACAGGTTGTGCAAATTATGTTTTCACCTGTGTACATTGTTAGATCACACCCCTTTATTAGCATAGGTATAATAGTGTCCACAATACTATCCCTCACATCTTGGCTGTGTTTGTTTGTCTGCATCAGGTCCTATGTGACTCACCCTCTGATAATGTGGTTTTATTGTGTAGTCTATCTATTTGTTTAAATGGTATCTAAAATCAGTTTCATAACATCTGTTGGTCTGTCTATTTAACAAAAAGATTGGGCCAGGAAAGGATCCTCTCTCTCTCTCTTGCGGATTTCCTATTGCTGCATCTTCATTTCCTTTATCAAGATCCAGGCTGTGCTGATATTAAGTCATTCTTATTCTAAGTTGTATCCAAGGCTATTTCACTTGAGAAAAAAAATAACCTTAAGAATTTTTTTTCTGCTCCTTTCCAAGATCTTAGTGAATAGCTTCAATCTGATGTTATACTATTTCTGCCGAAGAAACTACATTAGCTGGAAGACATCGGTGGCAAAGTAATCGCAAAGCAATAAATAAATAAACCAAAAGGGAAGAATGAGACTGTGTGAAATTATAGCATAATATGTGGTTGAAGAGCAGGCAACACCTCCCTCCCTCTCCCTCCCCTCCCTCTCTCTCCCCCTCCCTCTCCCTCCCCCTCTCTCTCTCTCCTCCCTCTCTCCCTCCCTCTCTCTCTCTTCCTCCCCTCCCCCTCTCTCTCCCCTCCTTCCCTCCCTCCCTCTCTCTGTATCTCTCTCCCCCTCCCTCCCTCCCTCTCTCCCTCCCTCCCTCCCTCCCTCTCTCTCTCCCTCCCTCCTTCCCTCCCTTCCTACCTCCCTCTCTCTCTCCCTCCCTCCATCCTTCCCTCCCTCTCCCTCCCTCCCTCCCTGCCTCCCACTCTCCCTCTCTCCCTCCTTCCCTCCCTCTCTCTCCCTCCCGCTCCCCCCTCTCTCCCTCCCTCGCCATCCTTCTCTCCTTCCTTCTCTCTCTCCACAAAAGTTTTAGAGTTTGATGCGTAGCAATTTTATTTAGATAAAGAAAGATAAAGCGATAGCAGGCGGCACTCTCAGGTCATTGGCCATATCTTGAAGATATCCAGGGTCCTAGATGGAGATGGCATTATTTTCCATTTCTCCTATACAAATGAGAAAAAAATAATAAGTTGATCAAAGTGAGTTTAAAGTAAATTCTGTGCTTTGCAAAGCTTTGTGAATGCAAACAATATCAGGCAGAGAATCTCATTATGTACTCTATCTGTAGTATCTCTATTAGAGGAGAGTTTTCTTACTGTATGCAGCATCTCTCATTCCACACACAGTCCTGCTGCCCAATGTCAGTACTTCCATGAGGACATTGGCCGAAACGGCAGAATCCGCCTACCCCATGACACTTTGGTTGGGCATTCCCTATGAAAAGAAAAAGAGGAGACAGGTAAACGATGAGTAAAGATTCCTTAATATTTAAATATATTTTCCCTTCCAAGACACTACCTTCTTCTACAGAACTGCAGGATTCCTTTATCAATTTATATTTTTATTCATTTATAACATAAAATATCAAAATAAAAAGCAAATAGTAAGGAACAACCATAGGGAAAGAGGAAATGTGGA